CTGGCACTCTGTTCTGAATCACTGCATTGACCTGCTCGTTGATCATCATAGCTCCAGCCTATAAACTCAAGTTGTTGGTCACCATTCTCTTCACATACCTCCTTATAACAGGAGTGATCCTCACAGCATCAACCAATGGGAGCTCAATAACCAACTTGTCCATGATAGCTTTGCATTTATCATCTTCAAGCTCTTGTTTAGACTTCATAGGATGCTTGGGATATGTTATCTTGGGCTTATACACTGTCTCCTTAGCATTGTTTGAAATCTCAGTCGAAACTAGAGTATGTTGCGACGGGTGACGAGCATCACTCGTCTTGGACAAGTCGGGATGATCTGCTCGATTTGGGTGACGAGCGTCACCCTCTTGGTGATGGTCGTCACCAATCTCCAAAGAAAGAACGCCGGGGTTGTGCTCAGTGGGTGACGAGCGACACTCATGCTTGGTGAGGAGCGTCACCCGTGGACTTTCAGCTGAAATTTCGTCAGCTTCATACTCTTCAAGTCCCACGAAATTTCTTGAGCTCAAATCCTTTTGCAACACTGGTTGCAGGTTCTTTCCACTTCTCAATGTGATGGCATTCACATGGTGTTTGGGATTAGCATCAGTTCTTTCTGGAAGAAATCCTTCTTGCCTCTGAACAACTGCTGCAGTTTGGGAAACTTGAACATCAAGCTTCTTCATATGAGAGTTCAGACTCTCAGTTTTCCCATCCAAGTCCTGATAGAGCGAATCTATCTTGTCATTGAAGTCCACTGTCAGCTTCTGTTGTCCTTCCAGGATTTGTTCCAGCATTGCTTCCATCTTGTTCTCTTGTGGAGGTGCAGATTGGTAGGAAGAAGAACCATGGTTCCTGTTGAAATTTCCAATGTTCTGGAATGGTTTCAGGTACTCTGTCTTCTGGAATGGAGGCCTAGGAGTATAACCAGGTGTGCTCTAATTCCCTGTGAAGGCATTCTTCTGATTATTGTTGTTATAGCCTATGTTCCATTGCTTATTTCCATACCTCTGACCCTGAAAACCTCCAGAATTGACGAAATTCACATCTTCCTGCTCAACCTCTTCTGGACTTTCGAAAGTCTCTACCTCTGCAGCAAAATGATCTGACATTTTTCCCACCAAGAGGCTGTGCATACTGTCCAGCTTAGCCTTAAATTCAGCAATCTGATTCCCATCATCCAAACCAGCTTGTTTCATCCTCTGAAAATCTGCATTCATGGTGCTGTTGATGCATACCAAGTTCTCAATCAACCTGATTGCTTCTTCTGCTCTGTTGGTGTTGAAGTTTCCAGCACTAGCTGCATCCAGCGCCATCTGGTATTTCCAGTCAATGCCTCCGAAAAAGATCCCAAGTAGTTGCACCTGATTGAAACCATGATGAGGACAGTCCCTTTGATAAGACTTGAATCTTATCCAAGAAGCCTTAAAAGCTTCAGTACGAGCTTGTGTAAAGGATGCAATTTTCGTCCTCATGTCTTCTGATCTGGCATCATTACAGAAGTTGTTCAGAAAAGCATCCTTAGTGTCTTCCCAAGTGGTCAGTGAAGCAGGTTCCAGTTGCTTCAGCCAATATGCAGCCTCTCCTCCAAGAGAGTAAGGGAAAAGTTTGCAGAACAGAAAGTCATTGGTAACTCCATTAGCTTTGACACTTGAAGCTAAATCTTCAAACCTCTCAATGTGATCCATAGGATGCTCATGAGGTAAGCCATGGAATGGATGCTGGCCAACCAGCTGATAATAGACAGGTTTAAGCTCAAAATCGCTCCACTGGAAGGCAGGAGGGCGGATTGCAGCTCTGTTGGCATACAACTGATCAGATCTGTTGTAATCACGTAGAGTCCTCTGAACAAAACGCCCAGCAGCTTTGTTAGCAGCAACAGGGACTCCAGCATCTTGTGCCATTTCTTGAACCTGCTGTTAAACAATGACATTCCCATCTTGATCAATTCTCTGCCCATCTTCATTCCTCATGTTTCCCTCTCTGTCAACCAAGTGACCTTCTGCATCTTCAACCAAGATAAGTGGAGCGACCATTGTAGATTTCTTCTTAGCTTTCCTGATAGTACTTTCCAACTTAGCCAGCTCGTCAATGCCTAAGGTCAAAAGCTCCTTCTCCTTGTTGCTTCTGGTACAGCGATTAGGCATACACCTGAAACCAACGCAAAGAAAAGTAGTAAAAAGTTAGTAAACAAATTAAAACTTAGACAAAATCCTAATACTAAAGACCAATAGGCAGCTATTACTCCCCGGCAAAGGCGCCAAAAACTTGATAGGGCCCAGGTTTTACCCAAATAAAATTACTGCAAGTGCACAGCAAAGCAGTTGTAGTACAAGGGGTATTGAATCCCAAGAGAGTATGTAAACTACACTATCGAATGTAGGTTCGGATTAAGCTAAGCAGTAAGCAATTTACGTAATGCGAATGATAAATTAAATTTAAGCAAACGAAATATGGTTGTTGATCTAAGTTTCAGAAGACTAAAAGCGCTAGGTCAGGACAGTTCACAGGTTGAATCCGAGAATGTAGAATGCATGAAATCAGGAATGATTAAGAACCGTTTTGAACATGAATATCAAATAAATAACTAATCAATTCTCATTGCAGAAGTTAACTATGTCTAAATCACAGAGTTTCAAATCTCTTTGCAAACCCTAACAACCTAAACATGCAATATGGTAAAATTCAATTGTTCACAAAACTTCCAAGCCAAATCTCTTTGCACTAAGTTGTTTTGCTCATCAAATACTAGTTCAGGTTATCAATAATGCTCTCACATATATTTAACAACCTATGATTTTCGGATTTCACGATGATGTTTCTAAGAAATTCGATTTTAAAGCAAGCAGAGATGAAAAACCAAAAGATATTCCTAAGAGGTGGCAATTCTACAAACTCTTCATCAACCTTTGAAAAAGCCCTAACTTAACTAACGAATTACTCAGACATGATCATGGAATCACAAAACATAACTGAATGAATTTGCATTAAAAGAATAGAATAAAAACAAAGGGGGTTCGAAATCTTCTCCAAAAAGAGTACAAGATCTGTCTCCCCAAAAGCTCTCAATAAAATCCACTCTAAAGATCTCTGAATTCTCAAAAATTAAGATACCAGCCAACAATGGCTGAAAAACCTAATAAATAGAGACTAAACACGATCTGGGGCCTTTTTGCAAATACTGGAACTTCTAAACTAATTTTGTAAATAATGATCCATCTTTTAATAAACCAGCCACGATCCCTTCCTTTCTGGGTGATGAGCGTCACCAAAGGTGGTGACGAGCGTCACCCATCTCTGATTTTGCCTTCTGAGTTGTACACTTCGTGGCTGCGTGTTTTAATGATCCAAAAAGCTCCAAAACCTCCAATTATATTCCAGACATGCTATAACCTGAAAAAACTCTACTAGGACTCTAAAAAGACCAAAAAAACTCAATAAAAAGGACTTATATCATGGTTAAAAACCATAAAAACCATGATATATCATAATACAATGGCAATTTGACAGAGAAAGGAAGTCACCAGCAGATTGGTGGTCTACTTATGGAGCTGGAACTCCACAACTAATGAACTTTGCTATTTCAGTTCATAGTCTCACTTGTAGTGCTACGGGTTATGAGAGAAATTGGAGTGTCTTTCAACATGTAAGTTATCTGAAATTCTACTAGTGCCGCAGTTTAACTCTTTTCGTGTGTTGAATTTCTAACTAATATATGTTACAAATTTTTCAATAGGTTCATACCAAGAAAAGAAACCGGTTACTTCAAAGCTGAATGAATGATTTGGTCTTTGTTAATTATAATAGGGCATTGTAAAGGAGGTACAAGAGAAAAGATACTACAGATCATATTCTCTTGGAAGCAATTGATGATAGCAATGAGTGGCTACTTGGGAGAATGGATGGAGATTCGGATGATGATGAAGATCTGGTGTTTGAAGACGACAACTTGACATGGAAAGTGGTTAGCGAAGCTATGGGAGCCGATGAGTCTATCTACTCTACTAGGACAGGAACAACAAATACTAGAAAGACAAAAGGAAAATGAACCGCAACTAGTTCGGCTCCTCCAAAAATGGTTCAAGCTCGTTACCACATGTCAATTCGTTGATGATGATGACGATGATGATGTTGATGATGGAGAGGAAGTTGATACTATGGAGAATGAAGACAATGAGTTTGGGGAGCAAGATGAATATTTTGATGAGGATGAGGATTTTGGGGAAGAAGATAATTAAGTTTTTTATGTTTGTTTTTCTTTTAGATTTACTTTCTTAAGGATTCTGTTTTGTGTCTGGTGGATTTTGGATTTTGGATTTGCTTTTCTTTTGTATTTTGCTTTTTGTTTTCCTTATAAATTTTTTTTATTTTGATTCTTGTGTTTTGCTATTTTGATTTTGTTTGAATTCAGATTCATGTGTTATGCTTATGCTTTGGATTATAATTTGGTTTGCTAATGCTTTGAAAACGTTTCTTTTGCTATTTGAGTAAAGATAGGTAATGTACCTTATATTTGTGTTGCAGTTTTCTCAGGTGTCCAAAAGGCGCGTGCCTTGCGCTTGAGGCGTAGTAAGGCGCAATGTTGCAGAGTTGTGCCTCAGTGCGTCTTGCGCCTTTTAAAACCAAGATCATAGGAGAAGTCACCATGACCAGAACAACTTTGAATGAGCAAACCTAGAAAACTCAATGAATAATGGCTTAGATTCGTCTTCCTAGGTACAATTGAAAATAATTTTATTCTTTATTTTCAGTATATTCGGAAAAACTAATGACCTTTCAAAATCTCCTTCTGCTGCAGCGCCAACACTGTATGCTTAAGTGTTTTCGATGGGCTCACCAACGAACTTCACCAGAAGCTGGAATTCAGGGGGTTGGAACCTAGGGTCATCCTTGCCACTAATATCAACCAAATACAATTTTGGATTCCATTCCTTTCTCTTGGTCATACGCTTTATCTAATAACAGGTCTTCATTATATTGATTACTCACATTTTCACAGGTCGGCTATACCTTAATGCAACATCAGGTTCCATTTCTACTTCGACGGCGAATACTGCAAGCTTCTGCAAAGAGTAGGCCTCCAACTCTCAACTCTCTACAACACAACTGTCTTTTAAAATGCCCATTATACTACATACACATTTAAACATTGCAGACTGGGAATCAAAGATGGAGGGCACTCGACGAAGGTAGCCACGTACAAGGGTGTGCAGAAGCTAGAAACCGTAACCCTTGCTGAGCTACATGATTACCTTCTCAAATCTGCTCCTCAAGTATATAAAACTCCACTAAACAATACAACTTAATCCCCTCCTTCACGCACCTATGGTCTTAACATCTAACATGTCAACACAGGCCATTAACACATATGCACAATCAGAGTCACATACATCCAATCTAAAAACGGATGGTGTTACATCTCTTGCTCCAAGTGCTCAAAGAAGCTACAGCGAGGCAGCTCATCATTTACATGCACCACCAGCCCCGATTCAAAAGTTGTTGAAGTCATTAGGTATACACCTTCTTGGTTACTTTTTCACTAATAAAACAGCCACCGCTCTCATTCCTACCTAATATCCCATTTCGACTGCCTCATTTGTAAAGGTACCGGGTGGAGTTGTCTGTTTCTGATTGCACCGATAAAGCAGTCTTTGTAGCTTTGGATACAGATATGACAAAACAGACAAATACTCGAGCTGCATATGTGGTATGCCACACAACCCTATCATCGCTTCTCCTTTTTTCCCCACAAACATTTGATTTTTTACTCTCATCTGACAACATTGATTTGTAGGGCATAGCTGTGCGAGGAGGTATACAAAAGGAACTCTCACGGGTCATCAAAGACATAGTTGGCAAAAATTTCACTTTCCAACTCAAGCTATATGAGTACAACTTCACATCGAAGGATAAGCCATTCACAATTTCCCGTATTTTTGAAACCCATGAATGTCTTCGAACACCAACATTTGTCAGTCCGGTTAGACTCGCTTTTCTACCTTTGAATTTTCCATTTACCTATAACTTATAAGATATCAAACTTGAGTGTCAATAGGACGGAGACGATATGCCTGGAGACAATATGCCTGGAATAATCTGCGAATCTTCCAAATACTCAACCGACCACAGTGGCAAAACACTTTCTTTGGAAACGACTACCAAAGCGGCAACATAAATGATGAACCAACTCTTGAAATGGAGGAAACGGATGGTGCCACCAACACTAATGATGACCCAAGTGTTCCAACTGAGGAACATACCGCCAAAAAGCCCCGCCAAACCTAGACTCAAAGTGGATGCCATGTCCACTTAAATGAACTTCTTTTATGTTTACGTTCGCATCTGTTTATCTTTCCGATATTTATTTTCCTTATTTTAATTTCAATATTTTCAAAACTCACATCAGTGAGCCATATAATACCCAAAATGCAGTTTTACGTTATACATCCATCTCGTTTTGATTATGTTAAATACGTTGTTTCCCACTGAATCTATAACCCAAGAGATAACTATACAAACTATGAGGAAATTGGAACCCAATTGGGTAAACTGGATATATATTATATATATAAGTGTAGAGAGAATATGAAACTGACAAGGGTTCTTAACCACACAAAAAAACCCTATCTAATCTATAAAATTTCAATCCTAAGAACTCTCAAAGAACATTTATATCCAGTTTTCTAAAGTATTTAAATAAATAAGAATGACAAATATAATTTGTGATTTAATTTTATACCACAATCATAAGTCTAAATATTTTTACCAATAAATTAATTAATAGTCTACATAAATGGTCAAAAATGCGTGTACACAGATGGTCAATGAAAGATTCAAACAGTACACTACTACACTATCACATAACGTATAAATAAAGTAACGGTAGTGAGAGGTCTGTGTAATTTACAACCAATATTAATTGCAATAATTGTACAATGTATTACAATATCAATATCGCATCACCGTCTACATTTCTCAACAACAACAAACATAAAGCCTTATATTCTCCCTCAAATGCATGTACAACATTTTCAAATCTAATCATCTACAGAACTTTACATTTAAAGCAAACAATGGTCAACAAAATCTCTGTCGAGAAAGGGAAACCCTTCAACCGTCAAGGTCATCCTCACATAACAGCCACAAAGACCTCCATGAAAAAAATGGAACCTCTACAACAAAACGTACAACGAAACAACCAGGTAGCAATACATAACCCAAGAAAAATTATAGCATCGACATTACTAAGTATTGATACCAATCAAACAAATCCAGGTGTGGAAGAAGTAAACAAAAGATGACCATGGTTATGTCAAAAGTATCGCACAACTCCAATCATCGTCCCATCGTATCAATCAAATGAACGACAATGTATGCACTATCTTCAACCCAATATAAGATCAAAACTCGAATTTAACAGATCATACTGATATATATTTCGATTTTACCAATAATGAACTTGCTGCTAAGAAAGCACGAGAACAACAGAAAAGTTTGACATCATCAAAAAAAGTTAAATGGCTCATCCAAGATAGCTTTGCAAACTTTTTTTAAATAACCATGTCTTTACATCACTACATTTCAAACAATAACCATCTTCATACATTAACCGTACACTACCTCTATTTCTGTTTAAACGGGAATTATTTCTGTCCAAAATTGCAGGTGGTCCGAGTGCTGTTAATCCTGCAGAAACAAAGAATTTTTTTTCACTCAATGGTATAATAGTTGTAATACATTTATATCCCAAATGTAAGTATAATATAATGTTTTACTTTGTTAATAAACGGAACTTTTTCTATACTATAGATGTTCCAAACCAGAAAAATAACCAACCATGGCTCTCTGGTGAATTTCAAGCACCTACACACATCAATTTCTCATATGCTCATAACTCTTCATAGCAAACAGGTAATAACCAACATTCATCGGATTCATTGTCACTGGTCTACAAAATAAGTACAACTTATAGCTTATACAATTGATAGAAATGGCAAAGGAAGCGCGGTTTCTACGGAAAACAATATGGTCATGTCAAAATCTGAAGAAGAACAGAAACTGTAAGCTGAAATTCGTGATTCCAACACCCCATTATACCCTTTACTGGAATGTAATAAAATTAATTAATGTTTGTGAAAGCAAAATTTAAAATTCAACTACGCATACAATAAATTGGTAATTAAACAATTATGATATTGTTCCAAAAAATGTAATGAATTATAAAAGTAACAATTATTTCATCAATATACAGAAAACTAACGCTTTAAATAATTTCATATTTTCACAGCCAGAGCATCAACATCAGCGACCACTCAAGGTACATTATATAAATATATCAATACATATCATTCAATTTAACACCCAACTCATATATAAAATACATCGTAACTTGCAGAAACAGGAAACACAACACCTCTAAATAATTCCACTTTAGAAACATGCTCATTTTTTTGATGCATTAGTATGGAACGAGAAGCTATTGGAAATAAGAGCCGTAGAGCAACAAAATTATTCAGCATTTGTTGTCAGCAAGGTCATGTACAATTGCCACCTGTATGAGAGCCCCCGTCACCCTTAAAAGAACTATTGGAAACTCCAAATTTTCATCAAAACATCCGGGTAGTCAATGCAATGCTAGTTTTCTCGTCAATGGGTGCACAAGTTGATCACAGAGTCACAGGAACACCCAGACACTTCATTTTCAAAATCCAAGGTCAAAATCATCACTAAATCGGCTCAATGTTACCGGTTGATGGGAAGCCACCACAATATCTACAGCTCTATATCTTTGACACAGCAAATGAAGTGCAAAACAGAAAGAAAGCCATGAATCAGGGATCTTCAAAAGTAAAAGTTGATGATCTAACCGTCGTTCAATTGATCAATATGCTAGACTCAAATAATCACCTGGCAAGATTATTTCGTCATGCAAGAGATCGTTTTGAATCATCAAATTCTATGCACTTCAATAGAAGACTGATTAGCCAAAACCATCGTGGGAGACATTATGATCTACCAAGCGTAGACGAGATTGGTGGTCTAATAGTGGGAGACTTCTCAATCAACATTGTAGGAAGAGATGTTGTTCTTGAATTCCAATCTTTGTCTCTGCGAAGGATAAGTGATCTACATCCACTCTTTATGAGTCTACAATATCCATTGTTATTCCCATATGGTTAATATTGTTACCACGAAAATATACCATATCGACCTACAAAAGGATCACAAATAAAAAAGGGAGCATATGACAATGAGGGAATACTATGCTTACCAAATTCAGACAAGATTGACAAAGGGAACAATAATCATTAAAGCTGGGAGACTACTGCATTAATATATTGTGGACGCATACACTACAACCGAACAAGAAAGATTATGTTTCTTCTGGTAAAAAAAATAAAAATAAGAGCAGATTTGTACAATAGTGTATGTGACGCAGTAGAAAGAGGAGATTCAGACACCAATAAAGTAGGAAGAAAGGGAATATTACCAGCAACATTCACTACTGGTCCACGATACATGGCAGAAAAATATCAGGATGCAATGGTTATTTGTAGATGGTATGGAAATCCAAACCTCTTCATCACAGTAACAACAAATCCGAGTTGGATAGAAATAACACAGCATCTAGAAGCATATGGGGGAGAATCGGCAAACAGCATACCAGATCTAGAATGCAGAGTTTTAAAGCTCAAACTAGATGAAATGATGAAAAATTTAAGAAAATAATATTCTTCCCCAAACCTGCGACATGTATTTCTCTTGTAAAATTTTGGGTATTTTTCTTGCAAAATCAATAATACTAATAACATAATGAGATTAATCACACCATACATACTAATTACAACACTTGATCACTTGGATTTTGTAGTTGTCTACACAATTGAGTTCGAAAAGCGAGGCCTGCCACGTGCACATATTCTTCTATGGTTCCAAGGATCAAGAAGAGAAGGTACAGCTTCAATGATTGACCAATACATCTCTACAGAACTACCAAACAAGGTGATAGACAAAGAGGGGCTTGAATTGGTGGAGCGACATATGATGCACGGTCCTTGCGGAAAGCATCTCATTAAATCACCATGTATGGACAAAGGAGAGTGCACCAAAAACTGCCCAAGAGATTTTTTAGAACATAAAAGCATTGACAAATCAGGCTTCGTTATATATAGAAGGAGAGACGATGAGTCAACATTTGTTCTCAAAGGCGATATCAAGCTTGATAATCGACATGTGGTCCCTCATAACCGTGGTCTTTAAGAAAAATACAAGGCTCATATTATTTCGAGTGGTGTTGCAAAACATGTGCAATAAAATACCTATTTAAGTACATCACAAAAGGGATGGACAAGGGGACGGTTGTGATTGAAAGAGCTACAAAGAAAGCAAAGCGAAGTGGTAAGGAGAAATCAGATAGTGAACCCACCAATCAGATTGATGATTATCTCGATTGTCGTTATGTCTCCGCATGTGAGGCTGCATGTAGATTATTTCCATTTCACATCCACCATCATAAGCCTTTTGTTATGAAGTTATCACTTCACATGACTGGTCAAGAGAGATTGGTATTTAAGCAATCAGATGATTTGAGTAATGTTTTGTAAAGAGAGGACATAGAGAGAACTATGTTGCTAGCATGGATGGAAGCTAACAATATTTACACAGAAGCCAGGGATCTGACATATGTGCAATTCCCAGAAAAGTTTGTCTACCACTACAATGAAAAAATCTGGACACCAAGGACAAAAAATGGGGCAGCGTCAATTGGGAGAGTTGTATACATCCACCCAGCAGCTGGTGATTTATACTATCTAAGTTTTTAAATCAATGTCATTAGAGGAGCCAGAAATTTCGATGAGATTTATACAGGTTGTGGGAACCTATATAAGAAGTTCAGAAACGTATGTTATGCAAAGGCATTATTAGATGATGACAAAGAAAGGCATGACGCTATAGAAGAGCCTGCACATTGGGAGAAAGCACCTCAATTAAGAATATTATTCGTCACAATCTTAGTCTACTGTCAAGTGGGAAATTCGGTCAATCTTTGGAATCATGCATCGAAATATTAAGCCGAAGACATTCTATACAAGAAGCGCAAAGAATTTACCTTCCATGGGTTATAGCTAGAAGACGCACAGTTGCAACAATACACATTGATAGAGATCAAACAAC